GGGGTCTCCCGAGTTGTGCCTCAGTTTCGATCGCACACATTCTCATCTGTCTTTATGACGATGCACACGCTGGCAGACTGTAATAGCTGTCTGTATTGTGGTGTTCAAATTTCAGAACCGTCTGGAGCCAAAGGAACTTTTTTATACTTTGTTTGCACTACCAAAATGCACAATACAATAATAAAATCAAAATGCTGCAAAATGTCGCTGGAGTAGCTCGCTATGTTTATGTATAACACATCCGTGAAGGTCTCTTGTGTCTTGGTACTAGAATGTGAAATGGAACAGAATTAGGGCACTTTTTGTGTCCTTATTCCTGTGGTACGGTCTGCTTATGTAATGACTCGCAATATAAAATCATTGGCGCATTCTGACAGTGATGTAACCCAACACCACTTCTCAAACAAAAAGCCCAGAGAATGACTTTTCTGAATGGGTTCAAGACCGAGGAAATGCAAAGGCACTTTTCAGCATTCCTCACCATTTGTACAGCTTAGAGGGTCTGAATGACCCTGCATCTGCAGAAAGCAAGGAACGCCTTTTCCCTGTGGTCCTCAGGGCTGTTGAAAGAGGGGTGTCTGCTTGTTTGTATCAGTTAGAAACAGGGGTGTCTGCTTGTTCGTCTCAGTTAGAAACAGGGGTGTCTGCTTGTTGGGATCAGTTAGAAAGAGGGGTGTCTGCGTGTTTGTCTCAGTTAGAAACAGGGGTGCCTGCATGTTGGGATCAGTTAGAAACAGGGGTGTCTGCTTGTTTGTCTCAGTTAGAAACAGGGGTGTCTGCTTGTTTGTCACAGTTAGAAACAGGAGTGTCTGCTTGTTGGGATCAGTTAGAAACAGGGGTGTCTGCTTGTTTGTATCAGTTAGAAACAGGGGTGCCTGTGTGTTTGTATCAGTTAGAAACAGGGGTGTCTGCTTGTTTGTATCAGTTAGAAACAGGGGTGTCTGCGTGTTTGTCTCAGTTAGAAACAGGGGTGTCTGCGTGTTTGTCTCAGTTAGAAACAGGGGTGTCTGCGTGTTTGTCTCAGTTAGAAACAGGGGTGTCTGCATGTTTGTCTCAGTTAGAAACAGGGGTGCCTGCTTGTTGGGATCAGTTAGAAAGAGGGGTGCCTGCTTGTTGGGATCAGTTAGAAAGAGGGGTGCCTGCTTGTTGGGATCAGTTAGAAACAGGGGTGTCTGCTTGTTGGGATCAGTTAGAAAGGATTTCTTAGCAGTGTCCGTGGGGCCTTTGGGGCATCGTGACAGCAAAAAACTGGGAAGGAGTTCAGTCAGCTGTGTTCTTAACTGCCTTTCCCGAAGATTCAGATATTTTTAGACTGGAGAACTAAGGGAAAAGTGTGATAATGTTCCAGTGCAATTATGTACATAAGATTAGCTTCCATCAAGATCATGTACAGCATATGTGTGCGAGCATTTTTTCAGCTGATCAATGCATATCAGATGAACAGTGCATTTTTGTCCTCCAAATGTTATTATGCAGTAGACACATCTGCTAATAACGTAACTAAAGCCACAGAGAAACCACTGCTGTGCTACCATTACTGCACGATGTGTGCAGATTAAGACAGTATACCAAACTGGCATTCTTTTCTGGAAAAGTCAGAAATACTTTTAAATTATTGTGAAGCACCAATCCAACTAATGTATTCCCCTTCAACGCCAGCACTTAATTTTTAAGCGTGCTCGAGAACACGAGCAGGTGAATGCCTCTCACAAACTGTACCTGCAGTGTCACTGACAGTGCACGCATTCATTACTCATTTGTTCAAAAACATAGAAAACGGCCCAGCCCCTTGTCTTGCATGTTACTGCAGACAACAATGCGTCTTTTCTATCGGCCTTCTCCAAATATACAAGGAGCCTCCTGGAAATGGATGACGCTCGTGATCTGTTACACCACATGTCCCGGGTCAGTTAATGGCAAGCAAAATATTTGCAGGACCCACATGTCTGAGCAGTAAACGCTGCTCCTGCAGAATGCTCACGTACTGTATGTTGTCTCAGCTGGGAGCCAGCCCTGTCTTTGCCACAGCCCTCCAGTGTTCCTGTCCTTCCTTTGTCTCCCCCCACTAGGTGGCAGCGCTGCTACTGCGGCCACAGGGGGTAAATGTGACAGCTCTCAGATGGCGGACTCACTGCAGGGCCCACTGTCCCCCTGCCTGTCCGCCCACGATGTCCTGTCCTCATCCGGCCGGGCCTCTGAGACTGCAGGTCTTCCCAGCTCTGCTAACTCCAGGCAGGGCTGGAGCTGCTGGACGGGCTTTGCTGTGGTTGCACAGCTCTGTGTCCCATTTAGGAGAACCTGCATGAAACTGGACTCGGGCGCCTCGGTTTCTAACAGGGCAAGGAGTTGACTCAGTTCGACCAGCACCTCTGCTTTAACGAGCTCTAAAATACCGACTGGACCTCCGGGACCAGGACTGGACACCCCCGTTCTACAAGGTCCTTGCCAGAGTCCCCAGCTGTGACCCCGAAGGCCACGTTCCTATATTTTCCGCAAGCCTTTATTCAAGAGGCCAGCGGGGGTCACTAAATTAACTGGATCGATTTAACCTTCCTCCCGTCTCCTCGCCTCTGAAACTGCTGAATGAGCAGATTACTTTCCTTGAGAAGAGGACAGGGAGACCTGTCTCTTGACATTTCAAGCCAGTACATTGCTGTCTCATCAAGTGCAGCTGCCCGTTGTGTGGGGTTCAAAAACAAAGGTCTAATATTAAAAGCAAAAAAAAGATCAGGTCTATTCCAGAGCCCCAGCAAGCCCATCGGGCCAGAGGAGAATCTGGTTTCTGTAGTGTTAAGTGTTAAGTGGTCTAGAGATTATGTGACTCCCCCCTCCAGTCCTACAGCTGGGAGGACTGGAGCACCTGGGGTAGAGAACCTCACTCACAGTACAACACCAGTGTCTGCAGCAGGGACTCGAACCCACATCCCGTCAGTCAGGAGTGCAAAGGCTCACCCATGATGTCACCCTGCCCCCACATAAAAAAGTAGTAACGTCAAACTGAATTGTCAGATCGTCCAGGCTTGAGGGCATTGTAAAACGCAAAGAAACAGACTCTTTCCTGTTTAATGAGAATTATTTTGACAATAATATCACCGGGGGAAGATATCAGATCAAACAAAGGGGCCTGCGAGACCTGGGGAGACCTCGGTTAATTCACCCTGACCTGATCGCAGCTGTAAAAAGCAAACAACAGGCAACAGGATATTTCAGCCACACGACTCCTGCACTGCTAAGGGGAGTCCTGGTAAAAAAAAAACACCCCTGAGATTATAGCAGAATTCTACCTTGGAAACAGGAAAAATAATGTACAGTATAAGATCAGAAAACCGCAGAGCTGTGATGCCAAACTCAGCTTTGAGTTCTAGCTGTAAAACGACAAACCTTGCAGGACTCATTTAGATTTCAGAAGTTGAGTTTGTTTCCTAATGTCAAAAGAGAGCGACATTTCAAATGTCCGTGTGTGTGTAACGTTTGTTAACGGATATAAAAATCCATTGTCTTGCTTTAAGCCTGTCGGTCTAAAGCTGACTTGAATTTGTCAAGAATCAGGATGTAGCATCACCAGCTGGTTCAATTCAGTGTTCGATAGAAGCGTAATTTAAAAGTAAGGGAAGCCGAACCCGACAATATTAGCTATACTGTACAATAAATTTGTGAATAAGCCTGTGTCAGACCCATGGAGTCAATACCCATGTCTGCAACCTTCCATGTTTTTGTGTCACGAAAGAAATCCAGCTTCCCAGAGGGAGCTGACATTGAAGCACCGGCATCGAAACTCATACAGAAACAAAATCTGACCTGGCCCAAAATCAAGACAAATACTATAAATGTCCCACTTCAGACGGAAACTTTCCAGAGCCAGCTCTTCAAAGGCAGTGAGGCTCATAAGCGCGTTGGACCCATTTATTTACCTTTAAGAAGGCAACCGACCCCTTGGCGATTCAAGTCCCTTTCATGAGACAGACCTGGGCAGTATTAACTCAGCATGGCCCGTGACCTTTGAGCCTGACCCCTGGCAGAGAGTCACGGTGGTGGCGTGTACAGTTCGGCGTTGCCAGTTTTAACAGCTCCTGTGTATTTGCCCTCAAGTCCTGGTATTTCAGCTACTAGTGGGAAAGTAAACTTTCACATCCTGGGGTGCTCACCTTTCTGCCCCCATAGAGCAACTTTTCCTGCTTCGGTTATTAAGGCCAGACCCGGCACAGCCCAGCGGTGGCGCTGCTGGCAGGGGCCTGGACAGATCATGGGCTGTCCCAAGCTGTGAAGACCCCGCTGAGGTGTTTCCCCATCACAACTGACCTCCTTACCTCTGCCTGTCCCACAGTCGTCTCCTCTTCCATTAGCATAACCTCAGCCTCTTCTTTCCAACTTTCTTCTCCTCCCTTCATCTTGTCAAACTCTTGACCTCCTGTCTCCATCACCCTCTTGCCCTCCTCCCCTGCCCCTCAGCGACTGCCCCGATGCCCCCCTCTCATGCTCCCAGCACTCATCTTGTCTGGCATGTTCCCGACACGTCTTCTACGGAGCTCGTAGTCCAGAGTCTCGTCTAGAGGTTCACTAGCCTCCAGGCTGCTGTAATGTCCTCCAGCACACCATCGTTTCGATGCTTTTCTCATGCAACTCTGCATCTCTAAATCTCTGAACTGGCTTCCTACTGCCAACTCCATCCAAATCCGAACCTCAGTCCTTGCCTACTGCTGTCTCAGCCATGCTGCTCCAAGCTGTCTTCCGTCCCATGTCGTCCCTCTCCTGCTCTCTCCAGCCCTCCTCTCCTACCGGACTTCTTCCTGCTTCTCTGTCTTCGCTCTCACCCCTGCCCATCAGTAGTAGAATGAACTGCCCCTGAATTCAGACCTGCTCCGTCCCTTCCTGACTGTCTTTTGATACCTGCTCAAGACTCTTTAGACAGTGAAAACACTTCTTAACACAGGGATTCAATTAATATTGAGTTTGGCTGGAGTTGGAGGTATGGGCCTGCCCTACTGTCACAGAGAACACATCCCTCTAAACGAGCTCGCGGACCACGCATGTCATTGTCGACAACACCGTTGTACTGTATGCTGTACTGTTTGTGCATTGATAAATAAACCTTGATTGATTGATTGATAGATAAATACAACATCATTGCATGATAGGATTGCATTAAATAGTGAATACTTTGCACATCCAAATGGCTGTCAAACCCACCCGACTCACCTTTCTTCCTTCGGTTTGTAATCAAAACCCTTTTAATTTAAGCTCATCTGTTCCTGTTTTCACTGATGGGCCTGGGCAGCAGTGGGCCTGATGGAGTGACAGGGCAGTTTTCATGCACTGATCAATATGCTCCACCGCAGCTGGCAGATTCTACCAGTTTTCTACAGTATCAGCTGCTGCAGTGGCCGTAAGACTGATCTGCGCTAGTGGCCCATCAGTTCCACTTTGCTCGCTCCAAGCCATTGATCGTCTTTCAATTTTATGAATGGAAATAAGTGCTTAGCAAGCCAGAGCCTCGTGACAGAGAGCCATTGTAGCTGCCCCCTTGCCTGACACACCTGTAATTCAGGTGAGATTCTAGTCCAATCGGATGAAAAATACCCCCAGATAAGAATGAGAATATAACATCTCATCAGTGAGATCAAAGCAAGACTCTGAAAAGTACAAAACGCAGTGTTATGGAATAGAATTACACTCTGCAAAATCTGCACTATTTGGAGCTTTTCCATATTTTGACCTTCAGCTGCCTTAAGTAGCATAAGACATGACCAAATGACACAGACCACACCTGCTAGGGTATTTGCAATGCAAATAAACTTTACATAAATTGTCTTCTTAGCCACATACAAAAATAACAGGTAGATCCGGCTTATTGGAATAAAAAATGTACAATATAAATTGGAACACCACAGAAGACTTCATTTCATCTGGCAGAACAGATTACAACTAAATGATACTGCTTGCACAGTTCGATGTACTGAAGTATAGCTTTGAGGTGCATCACAAATAAAAAGGGGGAGATTAATTGCAACAATATGGTCACACGAGTGTGGTGTGAGATCTAAGGTTATGTAAAAGTTCTGGCTTTGGTAACCTTGCAATGCAATAGCAATTTTCCCATCATTGCCAGAAACTTTGAGGAGTCAGCCAAGAGAATATTAATAGGGAAGACTATTCACTCCAGTGGTGTGTATACAGGGTAGCTGCCTTGTTCTGTGTCTGTGTGTCTTCAAAAGAGGTTTGAAGAGTTTGATTTCTAATTTATCACAAAAGGTACCCACTAGACTACCCACCCTGGCAAACTGGGGGTAAAACAGAAAACTGCAGGCCAGTGTTTATGCTGAACACTGATTCGAAAACCAGCTGGGGCTGTGATATGGTGCTTGTGTGCCATGTAGCATAATTATACCTCAATATAAAGAGAAGACTCTCCAAGGTGGAGGTATTTTAATCAAAAAGCCGTAGCCAAGTTTAATTTTTACTTCCTGAGGTTCAGATCAAGACATGATCAGCATGGTCGCCAGAAGAGGAAAAAAAGGCAATTATGTATCAAAGTGATTTTAAAAACTCTAATTAAGTCAATGCGGTCCTGACATTTACAAAGGGGGTTTATATAACATGTGTGCCCAGTTGCCAAACCTTTTAAAAAGAACAGAGTTATAGAGATATAGTTACTTAAAATTAGGCTATGAAGATCATTTTGCAACCTGATTCTTACTCTGTACTCTTTTGAAAATCACACTGCCTCCCTGGGACTTTAGGACTGTAACCTAATCCTCCAGATAAATAGAGCCTCAGCAGATTGGTCCAAGGTTTTGAGGACAGTGTGCTTCGGTTGGGTTGTATAACTCCAGAGAAAGAAAAACTAGATTTTAAGAATGGTTCTCCTGCACTCTATTCAAACATCCTCCACTGCAAGTTTGCTTTTTTTCAGATGAAAGTACTGCTCTATGTTGTCTTTGCTCTTAGATACACTGATGTGTGTCTCATCCCTGTCCTCGCTCACAAATATTAGACTTACAGAATCGGTTGACATCAGGGGCATCTTGTTTTAGGAGTTGGCCTCTCACAAAAGGCGACCTCAGCAAAATCTTCTCGGAAAGTTTCACCTGCGAAGACCTAAATCCAACCTATGTCTCACCGGCAGTGGATGAGGAGTTCAGTCCACCAACTCATTACAAAAACGGCTGCTGGCATTTCAAAAGAATCCAGTGTGCCGACTTCAACTGGTGCTGGAGTTAAAATATCTGGTGCACTACACATTCACCTTTTCTAAAGACAAACACCTGAATGAAATCCTTGTTATTACTACCACCTCAGCAACTACAATACTGATTGGAATTTGCACAGATTTAATTGGGACAGCAATCAGTCTAGGACTTAGAAAACAACAAATCAGTTACAGTCCGTACATACCCCATGCACCCCACCTCCGCCCCCCGTATTTTTGCACCCTCTGTGTCTCGCGCTGTTGTCGACTCACTTTAACTCTGCAATGCAACGCTGTTCGACGGGCGCAGTAGGTTGGTTTCTCTGTAGTCCCGGTTTACCAATCTTCATGCTTCAGACTGCGGTCTTGGCGTGCCCGTTCATTTCCCATAGTGCAGGAAAAAAAAAAGCACACAGCCCATCGCAGGTCGCCAGACCATATGATCACGCATGGATCATTACAGCTCTCTGCTTGCGCGGGATAAGACGGAAGTCAAATGGTTACACAGTCTGTTTTCTCCCTCTCGCTCCGTCTCTCTCTCTCCCTCTCTCTACAGAGAGCACCGAGGCTAACTCGCAGTTGTCAATCATTGACTCTTGAAATTGGATATTGCATTGCACTGCGTACGAATGATCGGACTGAATTGTGCCGCGCTCACCCCCAGCGATCCGAACTGCTCGGCGAACTTGCTTTCCCATAACAAACATATTTCAGCCGAACGCGACGCCTAGAAAGCGATGTTGTCTTGCTGGCTTTCGGAATAGGTGAGGTACGCTCGGATATTGCATCGTTGCACTAGTAGACCATAATGCCATTGGCCTTTTATAAAGTGAATGCCGGTCATCACGATGTAAACATCAGTTTTAGGAATTTTTTAAACTCTGATTTCTGAAACATTGCCTTTGCGCAATGCCATAAATGTTTGACACCCCCCCAAAAAAAAAACTTTTTAAAGTATATTTCCTAATCAAATAAACACATCTAAATCTTTACCTGGATACGTTGTGTCTACAGTATATCTGCTTGTTTATATTTGGAAAAAATCATATTATGACTGCATTTAACAGCTTATGTTTGTCACTTTTGATAATACAAACCTGATGATATTCCGAAAGCTATTGTTTTATTAATGATTTTAGCTCTTGGGTGTCCTGAGTTCAATTACAGACAGTGGTGTTTACCATTTGAAGTCAAAGTGCTTTTGACTCCTTCGAAATACCTGCTGTCTGTATTAAATGGTTTCTTTAAATGTTCCCCATGTGTTTGTGTCCTGCAATAAACCTGTCCAAAGTGCAGCCCCGCCCTACGTCCTGGTCCAGGGCAGGTTCTGCGTTACTACCACACACACCAGGAACACGTGTCTGTCTGATGATGAAGAAGTGGATATACAAATAGTGACATCTGGATGATATGGTCAAGTACAGGCAGTGTCGGGGTCCCAGGGTCGAATTGTGCTCAACAGGTAATCTCACAGTCTGCCCTTAAGAAGAGTGGCTTGTGTGTAAGTTCGTAAACCGCTTGTGCCAATGTCTTTACATTCCCTTTAGCTCAGCTGTCTGATAGGGCTCTCCAGCAGCCACGTCACCCTGCAGCTCCCAGCTGGCAGCCCCACTGGAGCTTAGCAGTGTGAACCTGGTCAGTACCTGGATGGGAGACTCCTGGGAAAGCTGAGGCTGCTGCTGGAAGAGGTGTTAGTGGGGCCAGCAGGGGGCGATCACCCTGCGGTCTGTGTGGGTCCTGATGCCCCAGTATGATAATATGGACACTATACTGTAAAAAAGTGTCGTCCTTCAGATAAGATGTAAAACTGAGGTCCTGACTCTCTGAGGTCCTGTCATTAAGAATCCCAGGGTGTCTCTCGAGAAGAGTAGGGGTGTTACCCCTGTGTCCTGGCCAAATTTCCCCCTGGCCTTTACCAGTCATGGCCTCCTGATAACCCCCCTCTCTGAACTGGCTTCATCACTCTGCTCTCCTCCCCACTGAGAGCTGGTGTGTGTGAGGGGACTGGAGCATCATCCAGGGGGGGCTGCACACTGGTGGGGGTGGAGGGGATCCCCATGACCTGTAAAGAGCTCTGAATGGAGGGTTCAGGAAAGCGCTATATAAGTGTAAGAATTATTTTTTTTGCGGGGTTGCTGTGAGACCGCCCTCCATTACCCTGATGAAAGAATTAACAGACCCATTTCTCCCGTTTTTCTTTTTTCTTTTTGCATTTGTTTGTCGTGAGAGGTATTTTCAGGCAATCTGTTCAAATAACCTTGCTTAAAATGCATGTCTTGGAGC